TTAAGCCTTCGTCGCTGCTGATGCTTTTAAATCGAGCTACACTTGAAATCAATTTTACGGCGATGTATTGGCGTATTCTGCTATCTTTTTCTTGAAAACTATGGTCACATTGATTTTTCATTAATAGAGTAAACCAGTTTATGTAACCGTCGTGACTTGCAAGTAATTGCAAGATATCAGCTTTGACCAGATATTTTCTAATACAACGCCATATTGATTCTCACTGCTTTGGGGCTCCGAAGTAAATTTGCCCGGCTTCAACCACTACTTATGAAATGTAAGCCGTTGCACTATCTAGTGTATTATTAGATCTGTGGTTTTGACAAGCATTTTTGTTCATTGTCGGATCTTTGTTGATGTTCACGAATAAATACTTATGTAAACAGAACAAAGAATACAAGTAGGCGGTGATGTAAAAGAGATGTAAATGGTAATTTTGTATTTAACTAGTACAAAGAAAAAGGAAATCATGCCCCAAAAGCTATAACGTTATAATATCTACAATACCTGCACAAAATGTATGTCAATATAAAAGCAATAATGACATAGAGTTCGATTGTAATTACGCTGCGTGAAATTGCTTTGTCCCTATTTATCATACTGATATCAATAGTTATCCTCGAATGCCCTTCGTGGGGCTTTCCGGCGACCTGTCAAGCTTGCATTTTCATTATGAAAATCTTGTTCTATTTAAATCTGTATTTTAATTTGTCTAAATCTGACGTTATGTCCAAATGTTAATACGTATATGAGACATTAATTTTGTTCTAAGCTACGGCCCGGCGAATAACGCTCAAATAAGCGTCTTGTTGGTGTTACGTTTTGCCATTCCGCAGACTACGTACATGTGATTTATTTAGAAAATTTATGCTGTTAAAACATTAATAGTACAAGAAGCGACTAAGTATTGAGAAGATGCAATCTTTGTATTGATTAGTCTACTGTTTACATGCGTTGTACTCTTGCATGTCATTGATTTTCAAATTTTGTTTGAACTTTAAAATGAACTTTTCCCCATTGTTTGCACTACGAGTTACAAACACAAGCCATAAAATAAAAGCAAAGAGCGTGAGGGACTGCAAACGTCGTCAAGAGACGGAACATGGTCGAGAAATACAGATATCACATAAAGGCATAAAACTTTGTCATGATGTACAGGCCCGTAACTTGTTATTCGCCATTGAATTGTCGAACTATGGGTATTTTCATTTTGTATCAATTCAAAGAGCAGTTGTTAAAATTGTTTGTAATTTACGAATTGTCAGATGAAAGTAATAAAAATTTTTAAGTTGTTGACCCAAGTCTCCAATCTAGGAAGCCCTTTTTTGGCCCCTCAAACTAATATTAGCTCTAGCAAAGATAAACCGGCGTCGATGATAACGAGAAAATGGCGTGACGTGACGTGCTTCTATTTCCGGTTAAGTTTAAAACGGCGTTTATGTTGATTTGAGGACGTGAAAATGGGTGATTTGACGTTCTTCCTATGGTTTTACTAAATCGCGTAAATACTAAAAAGTATGCAAGTTGCAAGAGAAATTGCCCTTACACACAATTAAACATAGCTTTTTAGTAATAAAGGATTCATGTTTCCTAATGACAATTTCATACGCGTTTATTCCCATTGATTTAAATTGCCTTTTTATTAACCTTGAATCGTCTGTTTTATACGTGCTCTAAATTTTGTTGGAATTTTTATGTCATTACGTACCAGCTAAGTTTGACATTTTCAACGTTTTTCACTTTTATTGTTAATTATTTAATTTCTCTTTTAAGGTTACTATATTTTGCTACAAACAAACTATAACGAAGAATTCAATCTGGAAGTATCACTTTCAATTTGACTGCAAATGTAACAAAGTCATGTTTAAGTTTTGGTATCAAAGCTCTGGCAATACAGTGCTCAAATACTATTGGCGTTTATTTGATCTCAAATGAAAGAGTCATGCTCATGTGGAATGATACTAAAGCATGATTTGTTTTGGAACAAAGCTCAGTCAACTGTCAATCTTACTCATGGAAATTATACAGTAAAAGTGCAATAGAAAATGGATCAAATGCATAAGTCATAAAAATTCAAATTTCTTTACTGATAAAGTTTAGAGGTTTGTGAGGTTTGTGAGGTTTTAGTTTGTAACATGATCCATTAATTTTCTCATTTTCTTATTATTGTTTAAATTTATCCATATTTATATATTTATGTCGCTGTACTTATAACTTTTATATAAGCCTTATTTTATTTTATACAAGCCTATATTTGTACCTGTATCTGCAATGTTGCAGCCTTGTCACACTGTGTCACGCTGATATCAGCGTTGTGGTTGCGTGAAGGGTACGAGTGATTGTAGTCTGGTCAACTGCCTTCACTATAATAGTAACCAGGATGTTCCACTTCGCGGAACCTCATACGTCGAAATCGACGGAGTCCATTAAAAGCCTTATTTATATAAAAATTGTATTATTTATATAATTATTCATTTATACTGAAGATGGCATCATGCGATGTCGAAATATGTCGCTTCTCAAAAATTCATCGTCAATATTTAATGCGCATTTTAAGGTGCTTTAATAAAAATATTCCTTGTTTATAGATAGTCTTAAAAGTACTCGTCGAGTCATACCCAGGTTATGTTGCCTTAGATGATATTTCAGTTGTTCCTGGAGAATGTGTCAAACAAGGTAGTTTTTTGAAGGTTTTTTGTTTGTCTTATGTCATTGTTGCCGTAGTGGCTAAGTTCTTAAAAAATCTACAGTAAAGACAGTTCTAGCTATATCTGAACCAATAAAGACAGTTTTATTTATAAGATTCACACCAACATTTGGAAACAACTACTTTTCAATTAAATCCCATTTTAAAATAACAGTTATAACAAAAACATTTTAAAGAACACACTTGACTTGTGACAGAATTTGTAGCATCAACACAATTAATACACTACATAAGTCGCGAGAGGTTTTATAGTACATGAGAAAGTAAAACCACTTATTGAGAAGTGCAATTCGCAAACCATTTTAGAAAACAATTGCTGCTTACTGATATAACACTAATCATAACTCTTATCTATGTCAAGGGCAAAGCTTGCCGATCTTTTACACCTAAAATTCAAATTTTCTGCAAAATTATTATTCATGGCTTTAGAGAATACTATTGCATTAACTGTTTTTCTTTCAATTTTTGTAGATGTAGATCGTCTAGATTAGTATAGATTTCTAAGAGGTCAAATTGACTTTAAAAATAACTACCGCTGAGGTTGTGGAAATGTCAGTCAACATCAACACTTATAGTCTTTCTCTACTAACCAACACAATGGCTATCTGAATTTAAAAACAAACAACGATACTCTCGGGTTCAAGCCATTTGTACTATAACTGTTTTTCCTTACAGAGATTGAGCACAAAAAAATTCTTATTTTAAGACTAAAAAATGAGCTCGCTTTGTTCTATAGATAGCTCCAAACATTACCCCTAGCCATAAACCTTTAGATTGTCCATAACTCTAATACATCTCCATTAATGTCGCAAAGCCATTTGTGATAAGCCTTCCAAGAATACTATTTTTTATTTTTATTTACCTCCTATAAATTTAAATATTTTTCCTATTATTAAATTGCCCTTAGTTTCTATACCTCAATATCACTATCCTCAGGATATCAGTTTCCCTTTTAGTTTTTCTAGATTTGTGAATTTCCTGGATAAGTGACTTATGAATAGTGCCAATTTACTTTGAACAGATTGTTATGCTTTAGATAAGATTTGAGGGACGAAAAGTGTTGCGTATTTGCTTGGCAGACTTATTAGCACTTATTCCATAAAGAAAACTATAACAGAAATCATTCACAATTCTATTTTTTCCTTTTTCAAATTCTTACTCAATTTGCAAATGCACTTTTGGTACCGACACTATTATAAATGTAGGCTATGATGCAAGCTAGAAGAAAGTTTACATTAATAAAATTTTACCTCTCAAGTAATTCGATTTCAAGGTTTCAAATACTTCTGACGAAAAACTTTTCCACATATCACTTTATTTATGAATAATTTAATGTAACGAACAACTTTTTTTAACAAAATTTGAGAAAAATCACGTCATGTACCTGTTAACAGAAATGTAACATAAAAACAAAATGTTTTACATTTCAAACCAGATGAACTACTGAATTTTGACCTTAAAATATTCATTGTTAGCTTTGAACACCTTTCAATTTTATGTACCGGACAATTATTTCTGAAACACCTATTTTAAACACTCATCAGTAATTTTTGGGTTTAAATGAAAGAGGATTTATTCTAATTTGTCGATTAATTAATGCTTTGTCTTGTATAATGTAATATTAATATCATTAGGTGTACAATGCTGTTAATATTGGTATACATCCAGGTGCACAACAATGAGCTAATTTTCTCTAAAGATAAACAGTTATTTATTTTGAAAAATACTATGTATGAATTTTTGTCAAAGTATAAAATATTTACTTGGATGTAAAACAACTGACGGCATGACGTCCTTAAAATTGCACTGGCCATTTTTCTTTAACTCACAAGATATTTAACATCATAATTCAAGATAAGTAAACCAAATCAATAAAATGACAGAGCATCCTAGTTATTGAATTACCGACTAAGTTTTATACAAAGTTATTGACAGAGTAAAATGTTTGTTAACTAACTCTAATAGAAATCTGATGAAAATTTGACAGGTAATTCTTCTCAAATGAGCTCCTGTGGCAAGCGCAAGGTACTCCCTGGATCTCAGTCTCCACAGTCTCATTGTAGGAGGAACAGAAGCTAGACCAAACTCTTGGCCATGGATAGTTAGTTTGACTCGAGGAGGCTCTATTCATTGTGCAGGATCAATTATTGACAAATATTGGATTTTGACAGCAGCTCATTGTCTTGTACAGTCAACAATACCTGCAACTTTTTTCACCGGAATTACAATAAATGTTGCAGATCATAGAACAGATACAACGAGTGTTTATGAATACTCTTTGACGTCAGTGGCCATGTATATTCATCCTAAATATTACGTACGCGGACCTGTATATTTTGCGGACTATGACGTTGCTTTGATGAAACTCCCGACACCTTTGAACTTTACCGAACGTGTGCAGCCTGTCTGTCTTCCAAGTCAAGATGATATTTTTAACGGAAATGATAATTGTTTTGTGATTGGCTGGGGACGCACTGCATCTGGCTTCACTTCTCCATATTTACAACAGGTGAAACTTGATGTTATTAGTCTTCAAGAATGCAATAGTTTTAGCTTTTTTAACGGGAGAGTCTCACCAAGGTCAGTCTGTGGTGGTCGTAGATCAGGTGGAGTCAGTGCTTGTAATGGTGATAGTGGTGGTCCCTATCAATGTAAACGCAATAATACTTGGATACAATTAGGGATAGTCTCTTGGGGACGCTCTTGTGTGCAAGCTAGATATTACAGCGTGTTTATGGATGTCAGAAAATTCTTGCAGCCATTTATTGAAACAATTCAAAGAGGTAAAAACAAACTTTATTTTTTTCATTAATTTCATTCAAAAAAGGTCAGTTCTTTTCTCTACAATCAGCAGTAACGAAATATAAAGGATTTTAATGTAGACAACAACGGAACTTATCGCTAATACGATGGAAAGAATTTTAACAGCTCTAAATTCTTTATTAATGTAATGCAAATTTCAGTAAAAAGATGTAAGCACAGAGTAGATTATTGCATAATTATCAGCAACACTTCAAGTGATATCACTTATTTACAGAAAAGTATTCTACAACTTGCTTTAGTGTCAAAGATTGCTTACATTTTGCTAATATTTCAAAGTTTAAGGAAAGATAGACAGAGCTTCTACACAAGCTGTTGAATTTCAGCCAAAAAAATTTTTTCTGTTTTGATTTCGTTTGTTATTAATTAGTTAACACTAGTTTACGCTCATTGTATTAGTAAGAAACAGGCCTGGTTTGCCACTGAGTTTAAATAGTAAGAAGAAATTTAAATAATATAATGTTAATTATTGAAGTAATAATTAATTTGAAATGTAAATTCAATAAATGAGGTAATATAATTAGCAAGAGTTTCTCTTATAGGTCAGAACACTAATCTAACCATGTACTACTCAAGAGCAATTGGAGTTGTGTTTCAAAACTTATCAGAACTATATTCCTCGAATCTTTCGGTTATTTTAACGAATAATGGAGAATTTTCTGATATCGATATGGTTGGATATTTTCGAGCACTTCCTTATCAGATTGAGCTTGTGAAGCAAACAACCTTAATTGATCTTATTACTGTTTCCGGACAGCAAAATTTAACTTCAAATACGACGACAATACAACATATTGCTTCTGTTCTTGTCCGGTATATAAGTAGCCTGTATGCTGATTTTAGATCTGGAAGATCGGGTAGACGTACTTGTAAGTATACACATGTTAAATTATGCGTTTAAAATACTAGTACGACATAATTTTTTATGAATACTTATATAATTGCATCATTTTTTACCATTCGCCAACGCTATTGTTTATAGTATAAACTAGTTATATACATTTTTAACAAAAGTTAGCATTAGTTTAATTATAGTATTTGTTAATTATTAGTTATAACTTCACAGGAAGTTATCTTATTATGCACAAGCCGATCTAGCGTTTAGGTATTACGGTGCCGGTGTTTTTTTGTAACTGCTGTATATTAATGATAATGATAATTAAAATTGCGATTTTATTTAATGAAAAAAAATTAACCGTCGTGAGCGGAGAAAGGAAGAAACAAGTTGAAATCATAAAACAGTACAGCAAGCTTTAAAAACATTTATCACATCTTTAAATGATCCGCATTTGTTGTGATGGGGCAAACCTAATGTTTACTCCTTGGTTAAATCAGAATATAAACACTGTTAAGATTGTCGAAACGTTAGTCAGCATCAACACCAACAATCCTTCTCAGGACTCTACTATCTTGAATTATCTGTTTCTACTAACATATAACGACGTTTCCTGGTTTAAACCATTAACTTTATACACACCTTGCTCATATTAACTTCTTAATTAAAACAGAATTAATTGACTTGTAAAGAGTCTCCTCTAACGCTTTTATGTTTGTTTTCAGTTGCACCAGATTCAAATAGTACGATTGGGGAAAATGGTAAGAATTTCACTTTTGAATTTTCTTTAGATTTGTGTTTTAATAAATAATAGCCTAAAGTTTCTTTGTAAAAATAAAGATAGAATGATGTTCGCATGAACATTAATAAAAGTGTTCCTTTTTATGCAAACGTCTTTGTTCATTAGAGCAATTGAAAAATCCGTAAAATGCACATTTATTCGTGTCAAAATATAAATCTAAAATCTTTTGATAAAATTTGGAAGGTGGTAATCAAAATCGTATTTTTCAACTTGGAGCCTATTTATTAATTATCCAAGTTTGAACATATTTTGTTTGTTTATAAACTGTTTTTCTTGTAAAAATTATATTGACGGATTTTGAAACATATAATTCATTGAATTGATGTATTCTAAAAGAGGAGTATGAAAAAAAATACTTTTCATTTGAATAGGTAGTTGTTCCTTTGAAAATGGCATTGACAATTCCAGATGCACATGGAAGAATGTTAATTATCCACTTGACAACTTTGATTGGACCATCCATTCAGGCTCAACATCAAGTTCGAGCACTGGACCTAGCTCAGACAGAAGAGGATCGATTACTGGTAAGTCTTTAATTAAAATACATGTTTTAAAACTTATCCTTAAATAAAACATTGAAATTAAATAAAAGGTCTAAAATGACGAAAGCAACTAAATTTTTGTGAATTATATAGAAATCTTAGTTGTAATTGCATGTAAAAGTCTATTTCAGTTGACATAGCTTTCCCAAATCTTATTCGATTTTCATAGATATTTTAAAAAGAGTATTATTAATGTTATCATTGACGAAATTGAGTGCAGCCGGGAAGTATTTTAGCCTAAATTAGCGATATTACTTCAAAGTGGGAAATTACGACATTAAATAGAGTACATACAAAGAAGCAAGCATTAAGTAATTATTCCTATTATTTTCCCCAACACAGTTACATCTACATACACTTTTTCATAAGTTAAGAATGATCATGGAACCACGATTGAGCAACCGTACACTATGCCTATAATTTCCTAACAAACACCGCTGTTCTTTTCAGATTGTTTTAAAAGATTCTATTTTTTTCTATATGTATTAAAACAAGTAATTAAGGCAAGTTGAGCTACACTCCAATAAATATGATTAGATTTTAAGGTCTACTGTGTTTTAAGACAAGAAGATTTCCTTTTAGACAAACACAGATTCTATATAATCACATAACCATGAATGATGCGCTTAAGGCGAAAGACATCTATTAACAAACGCAACAATTAAAGCAATGCAAATCTTTCTTGATGTATTATAGATATGCACAGAGGATATATCACAGATATGCTCAGAAAAATTTATCTACTGAAACATATATACCTAGAAGTAATGATAGCAAAGTTTTGGTTGGTAAACCAAATACTTGAATTATAGAAATATCTCTCGTACTCAGGATATTTCACATGGAATAGTCTTCCAACAATACTGTAACATCGCTTTAATTAAAGGAAAATTTAATTAGTTTTTTTATATAATGCAGTCGAACCCATGTCTTTCCATTTACTGTTTCCAGAAGTACAAAACCAATTGGTGAAATGGTCATTACTTTACTATCCTACATACATTTTAAGTCTCTAATAGAAATCCAGCTGATTTTGTCATTGGCATTTTACAAACAGTCTTTGCATCCCTTAATACTTAAATTTAACAAAAAAAAATTAAGCAATATTTGCCTAAGATCAATATATATTGAGAAAATCACCACTCTGGTCATATGTCAATTTTGCATAAATCAACAAATATTCTTGGCAGCGATTAAATTTTTTATTTTCAAAGAAAGAATCATGCGAAGCAAAAAAGAACACTTAATTCACTCTAATCATGCATTATTTAAAAGTGATTAACAACGTTTTGTTGACATACAATGGACTTTATTTTACCTAGCTTCCAAAACACGTTTTAAACCATATTTTGTCATTTTAACATTGGAGCTATGTCGACACTGCCATTTCAGGTCGGTCTCGATTAGGGACTTTCTTACAAAATTAGGGACTTTGCCCATATGCCATGTTGTTTGTAATGGCTATTTTACCTAAAAACAACTGAGATCAATTCCAGTAAAGGAAATGGGTACAAATCTTTATGCAAGTGTATGACTAAAACATATTTGAAACAAATTGTAGTTTCAAAAAACGAGAGTGTTGTTAAAAAAAAAACAAAAAAAATTTCTTGAATTGCTTAAAAATGTCTTTTAGGAAAATACATTTACATTGAGACATCAAGTCCCCGTGTGCTGGGTGATAAAGCATGGTTGGTTAGCAACTACTTTAATACAACAACCAAATGTTTTACATTTTGGTATCATATGTATGGATCAACAATTGGTTCTCTTAATATATACCAACAATATATGGGAGGTAGATTAAAGCTGTTGTGGACATTAAGTGGCAATCGAGGAAATCAATGGAACAGAGCTCAAGTTACAACCAACTTTACGGAAGCAAAAACAAGGGTGAGTATAAATATCAATGTTCTCAAACTCTGCATATCAGAGTACAAAAATGCTTAGTTTCAACATTGTAAGCTTATTTAGATTGCTAAAAGGGTTGGGCGGGAGATGAGAAGATAAAATGTTCCAAGAAAAATTTTCAATTGTTTGTTCATAGCTCATAAGTAATGTTAACTTCTTCAACAAGGTAAATGTTTGGCTGTAGACTTTACTTAGAAAATCATTTTCCTATCCCTTTTAAAATTTTTTTATCGTGTAACGTCTTTTAAATTTTGGATGCTGTTGTAGAATTATAAAGGAGGATTAATGTCTTAAAACTTATATCCGTGTTACAAATGTTAGAAACTTATATCCCTGTAAGCCACGTGTCTCCAGACCAAAATTTTGTTTGTTTTCAAACGTAACATTGCAAATCAACTTTATGGATGCCTTTAGCAGTCTCAAAAACATCGTTCTTACTTTTTTTCATATAGTTTTCTACTCACTTTCTATTGAAAGATCAAACAATCTATATTAGCAACTAAACTTGATGTTGCATGTTTTCACTCACCTATGACTCCAAGACTCGGCGCACATATGAACTCTAATTGCTCATTTGGCAATCAAAAGTGAAAAAAGCGCATGTGTCTAACATTAAATTTCTAAAGTGCATAATCGTTTTTGAGTAAACTTTGCATACTACCTTGTAAAAGTTTGAATATGTAATAAAGTAAACAATGTCTATCTGAATCACCGAACAGCATATTTTCTTGCTAAAAACTTGCTAAAACCTTGCTTAAAAGCTCTTTTTATGTAGATCATCGTTGAAGGTGTTTGTGGCTCCAGCTTTACGGGTGATATTGCTCTAGATGATTTTGTTTTTCTTAGTGGTTCATGTGATATCCATCCCACGTATGCTGAACCACGCTTTATTAGTAAGTTATTTTATATAATGACGAGTGTTGCTGGCTTTTCTACGAAATTACTTTATTTTTAAGAGGTATTTCTCGTATTTTCTATGCAGAAAAATCAGCTGCAATGGTTTTGTTTTGACGTATAAATAACGTTTTTAGTAAATTTTGATCGTTGTTAACCAGACAAATTATCCCTAAACAACCAATAAAAATTAACGCAAATCTCAACAAAAGAACGGTTTTAGAAAAAAAAGCTTTGACTTGTACGCAAAACATTGTTTTTTAAAAGAGTTAAAAGATTTAATGAACCTAGTTTTGTCTTTTTTCGTAGTAGGAATTGCTACGAACATTGTAACCATGTAACATTCTTGAACACAGATCTTAAGAATTCCCTATAGTTATCAAATTTATTAACTTTTAAATCAAAAAACTTATTTTTATTAACAATGGTATTAGATAGTTGTATAGAGATGTCACATGTTCCTTTTACTTTTAAACGATTTTCCATAAAATTTTAATTTTTAGATACTACAGCAACCATTTTCCCAACTCCCACGATTTCTAATGGTAAGTATGTATAAAATTTAAAAGAGTTTATTTGTTGCTCTTTACAACTCGTGTTTTAAATGAAGAACATTAAACACGTAATTTTATCACTTACCCATACCTTACCCACATGCAATCATCTATTATGGCACGAGTTTCTTATTTGTGAATCTTTTATCATGATTTTAAATCCATTAACTTTTGTTGTTAAAAACAAAGAATTGTTTCAATTTTGTTATACAAAGTACTTAGTAGTTTTGTTTAAAGTACATGCAGAACTGGCAATATAATGACAATTGAGAGACAATATATATGTACTCTTTGTTTTACAGCCACACCTACCTCAACAACCACAATTGGTGCAAATGGTAAGGGTCGTACTTTTGTATTTGTTTATATTAAACTTTTTATCAATAATTGTAATAATAATTCAAGTGTGTGTATGTTACTTAAAGCTGTGGTCATTTTTTAAAAAATTCAATTTAGTTATTACTTTAAAAACAAATCCTTTGAAATTTATATTTTTGAAATTTATCTGATGACGAATATTGAATCGTTTCAATTTGCCTAAATTATTCAACGCTTGGCTGAATCCCGGCTACCCGGGCTTATATAATCAGCCCCAATACAATTTAAACATATAATCATTGTGGATTTATATGATTTTTAAGTCCGATATACTGCGCTCTTGGTTTTATGTGTTTTGGTGTGCTAAAATGAAATACGTCAAGATTAAATTTCTAAAGTTTCATACATTATTCAGTAGAACAAGTTTAAAGTACGTCCATTTTTTTGTTCTTTAAGATTACTATTTTATCAAATGATAGTACCAATTAGTTCCACAGTTTTATAGTTAAAACATCTGAGTAATTTGTGAAATTTGTTGTGTTTAGTATATAGTATTAATTATAGAGTTATAGTTGTATATTTTAATTTCATTTTTTAAAAACAGTATAGATACGCATTGGTAATAATAGTCATACTCAGTGACTATGAGTGTGATTAATAGTAACGAGATTGCGTGTGTTTGACTGGACAAAAATGCAGAAAATAAATCCAAAATTGTAATGTGCTTTTATGTCAGTATTTAGCTATTATTTTTATTTAAATATTAATAGTATTTTTTTATACAACACATGAAAGCTTTGATAAATGTCTGTTATTTTCTAATATGGCCAACCACAAGAATAATCAATGTTCCATTTTTTATGAAAAAATTATTTTTAATTAAGACAAGAATCAGAGTTTGCAGCTATGTGTGCATTAATTTTAGAAACTATATAACTATTTTGTCTTAAGGACCGATTTTATTTGACGATTGTGTCGAAGCTCATGAAAAATCTTGTTCAAGGTAAAAATTTTTAAATATAGAAAATTTAAGTATATATCATCTAGTTTAATTTTTGTTGCTGATAAATTACGTTTACATCAACGCACTGCATTTCTATTTTATATTGTCATTTGCACATAGTATTTATCTTTTTTACTTAGTTTTGTTCATTTGAAGAATTACTTTTAAAATTACTTTACTAGCGATGAAAAAAAATACTATCTCAAATCACGAAACGATTTGGGTTATGATGAAACGGAATGTCATATAGGTGGTAGCATAAACCTTGGATGTACTGGTATCGGATGGACATTTCTTGGAAACATAAGTGGAAGCTCCTCATCAGTAAGTCATGATACACTTTTATAGATTATGTTTTTTACTTCAAGTATAATCCTCTTTTAAGCACGACTAAATTCATTATGTTGAAACATTTTTCGAGCTGTCGTTGTTTTTGATTACATACCAGCAACTTAAATTGTTCCTAACTCTCAGCTGTAGCTCTAAATTTTTTGAGAAATAAATATTTCGCCTTTTAACGTATCGTGTTGTCTTTCAACCTAAATATTATACTCATAAAATGGTTTTCTATGTTTTTTACATCAATTATAATCCTCTTTTAAGCACGACTAAATTCATTATGTTTTTCTCGTTGTCATTGTTTTTTGATTACATACTTAAGCATAAGTTTAAATTGTTTCTAACTCCTAACTGTAGCTTTATTTAAATATTTCGCCTTTTAACGTATTGTGTTGTATATTCCACTTAAGTATTATACTGATAAAATAATCTTCTATGATAGCAAAAAGTTACTGCAACATCAAGTCTCAAAAGAAATATTATCATGATCCCGAAAGGTGGGAATATAGCTTTATTTTATGCTTTATAGAGCTCAACAAACTACGAGTCGAGAATTTGGCAGTCAAAAGAAGACGAACAAACAAACTTTAATTCTCAATTTTGGAGTGCCAGTGTCTCCACTATTTGTCTGCAGACATATTACGGCTTTATGCAAATTTCAGTTTCAGCACCATCTGCTCGTAGTTTATTTTTCGGTCAAAAACTCTTGAATATTTCAGCATCATATTTTTTAAATTCTTTTACAAAACTATGGATTCCCACACAGCTGCCAAATTTTTCATCGGGATGTTACGAAAGTGGATTCAACGTTGGAGATGTAAATTTCATTCAGGCTCGTTTTGGTATTGTTTCTGTTAACAGACCAGGTAAAACAACTTTTAAAAAAGGATTGTTTGACAAACTCCATCTACATTTAAAGGTTTTAAAATAAAAATATTTTGTTAATACTGCCTCCCCTTTGAGTTTATTGGTACTCAACACAAATTTAGGCGGATAAGTTGCAAGAATAATTGAAATTAATTTTAAAGATCAGTCTTCACTTCTAAAGTAACTGCAAATTTGTGTTTTCTCTGTTTTAGGATGTAATAATACTGTTGCTCAAGCCATTGGTGTAGGAATAAAAATACCTGGGAGGAAGAATATCAGTGTTAACGGTGTGGTTACCAATGTAATGTCACTTAATTTTGCTTCCTACCTAGACTTTAGCTTTTATGTTCGTTCCCGTCCTCCTAGAACTTAGTTTTTGATTCTTAGTTTTAATCTGCTATTATGCCGCCTGCACTTACTTATGTGATTCCAATATAGCTAATTTAGTCTATTGCCTATGATAAATTTTTTGTAAGTTAGATTTATAAGCACAACACCACTTGTTCATTTTAAAAAATGTTAGACTTATCTTCCACAACGAAAGACACTAAAGTAAAAAAAGCACTGAAATGAAGCGTATCAGTTTTATGTCTAGTAAATGAATATTGTGCTAGTTAATTTAGAAATAATATAATATGATGGATCTACGTAAAATAATGGTTATGCCTTAATAAACATAGTCATCACAAATAATATTGTGCTTATGGTATGATTTTCGACCGTGTAAAAGAGTGGCATAAAACTATAGGCATGATATAATAAAACATAGATTGCTGACGTATGAATAGCGGCTGTGGTTATCTTGAATAATCTAAGATGGAGGAACAAGAGGGCGAAAGATCTATAGAGTGTTTGCACGCACGTCACCACTACGTCAAAAATTTGACTGACATACGTCATTGCTTATTGCTGCATCAAAGCAAAATTAATCATAAAAGTCATAGTTACTAAATAGAATAATGTAGTTCTGTTCTGCAAAACAGCATTTGATTAAGGGTTGTGCAAAATAGTTTACAATCAATCAGTAACATCTTGGCTAAAATTATTATAGATTTTTAAACAGCAATAGCATTATATAATGATATTTTGAGTTCTGTTTTTATAACTCAGCAAATTTAAATTGTTGTCTTATCCTGTATTTAATAGAACTTCCAGAATTAATGCATGAAATCTGCCAGTATACAAGCAAGGTTTACTCAAAGTTCAATAACAGCAAATTAAAGTAGCAATTGACTTGCCGTAGGACACATTCTCATGCCTTCAAGTCGCTTTAATCAATAAAGATAGTTGTAGTAACTTGGGCACAATACATTCACAGCCCGAACTCCAACTGACGAATATCGACTTGTGCTGTGTTATTTTTGTTTGAAATTGCCGTATAAGAATAGCAAAATTAGCTCACATGTGAATTTTTACTTCTTCATGTATATACATTCTCTAAAACTGTGCAATTCCTGAAATAAAACATTGTTTCGAAGATTACAAAATTGTTTTCGTAAGAAAAATACAAACACCCCTTTCACTATTTTGAAAATTTTCGCTATCCAATGGATAATGCTATCCAGGCTTCGTGCAACCGCCCCTGCATTCCAATGACGTATTTATTAGAGTGCAATTGATTCACGCTCAGTCGCTGACTCAAGCGCCGATCAGATATTGCACATTGCGCACGTAAAGAAATAGTCAAAAGCAGTGGTTTTCTCAATTTTGATTAATATAAGGCTTATAAGAAGCTCTCTGGTTGCTCAATAAATATTTTGACTAACGGTTGCCGGCTTTTTGACTAATGTGGAGTAAAATTTCGTAAAGTTCAAAACATAGAGGAAGTTTTGTGATAGGTTCCTTGATAGAGAAGTTTAAAAAACGGAGTCGCTGCTTTGTTGTATGAAAACACTCACAACGCCTCTGCCATTCGCCCTCACACGATGGTGCATGTGCTGTGTTTTGCTTGGTGAAAATTATACATCCAAAGCTGGAAGGATTTTAAATTAGTTACTGAGCCACTTGTGCAATGGAATAATGCCATGTACACCTTTCAAAAATATGAGGCAGAGGTACTGGGGAGGAGGAATTGATTTTACATGCTTCTACCATTAACATCAACTGAAACTCAACAAGAATGCCTGAGCCCTAAGGCGTCAAAGAGGTATAATGGTGGCAATTATGAGCCTATAAGATACTTTGTAAAATTGCCTAGTTTGTTTATTGTTGAAATCATCGTTTCTTTCAAAAAATAAACTTATCTACGAAGAACATCAGGTGACTTTTAGTCAATTTTGGTGCCTTTTTTGAAGTTTAAGTGTCCAGGTTAGTATAATGCCAGATTGCCAATTAACCTTTTACATAAAACTGTCCATGTCCAGAATAACAATATGTGTTTTTTAGGCATGCTGATGAGCCCTGACACTGGGCGAAAAAGCCATTATGTAAGTATTGTTCAAAATATCACTAAAAAATGCTACGAAAATGTTATTTTTACCCACAAACGATGCGTAAAAAATATGATTAGCACTCGCTCTAAAATGCTGGAGATTGCATATCCGAGACACTAGAAATAAAAATTTTCCTGAGAAGCATGATCCTGGACCGCCATAGGTGGCAAACGCCTCCGCCTTTTTTTTGGCTCAAATTTAAAAAATCCTAGATCCACCCATCTTCTACAACAACGTCGTCAATAATCTAAAATTATAAAGGTGTTTTTAATTGGGCTATGTTGTAGCTTAGTTTTGGATAATTGATAACAAATATTGCTAATTGTAACAAGTCGACTCATGCATTCGTTGGCAGTTCTAACATTAGTTGGCTTCTTTCTTTTAGCTAGATAGTACAATTGTTAATTCCACAGTGTAGTCATATATTGTGGATACATAATCCTTCTGAAGGCAGAATTTTTCGTCCTATATTTTCAATCCAAATATTCGCATGCGATTTTTTCGGAAACGAAAAAAGAAACCTTTGCCGCGTTTGGCGTTTCTTAGAAGAACCGTTTTACAGTTAAATGTGGCACAATAAACCATGGTTTCAACGTCAAATTGTGTTGTTAATGCATGCAAAGAAATTATCACTACATTTTGAACGAAGCGTGAAAATTACTGCGTTTTGCGAATGTAAGCTATTACGTTTCAACGAGCTTCCTCCGATCATTAGTCGTGGTTGCTCTTCGAGCATTTTTAATAAGTTATAAGCAACGCATCAACTTTAAATCTCCATTTCTCCATCAACTCCATCAACTCCAAATGTCCTTTGAGAGTCAAATTTTAGTGAACTATTTATTTGAAGCGGTACCTTTGTGTACAATACAAAATAAATTGAATTATATATTGCATGTGTCCTTTAAAGAATATCTAAATTTTGAAATAAATGTCTGTAAGTGTACCAATACGTACTTTTTTGAGTTAACTAGTTTACTTGGATTTGCATTTATACTTTAGATATGTATTTAACTGGAGTAACCATTACTTTTATTTTCAGCAAAATGAACTCTTTTTTTTGAGGAAATACACAATTTACTCAATTTTAGGAGTAACTATGCATGTTCTTGACTTGAGAATGTAGAACTCTTTTTCTAGTGGCTTTAACACGTATTTTTGAGTAATTTTCGGAGTAACTATGGGTGCATTGAATAGATTTTGCTCATATTTTGCATAGTAATTTAACCCTTTACTCAAATTTTGGAATAACTATGAGTGAATTAAGTTAAAGAGGATTAATAAATATGAAGCATTCCGATTGAATTGTCAGTAGCAGCGGATAGTGTTAAATTGTCCTATCTCAATAAGTGGAATTAAATAGCAAATACATAATATATTTGTTTTTACTTTTCTAAAACGTTTTTCTAACTGGAAAATATCTAAGCTTTTGGACAAGTAAACCCCAAAATTCATAGACAGCATTTTTTTTGAAATTGCGTAAACTAAAAAAATGATTTTTTTGATCGTTGCACTAAAAACATGCCTGTAAATTTTATTATGTCTAGATGTAATTTCGATCAATTTATGTAGAATTTGTTTGATAATGGCGAGAAGACATTTAAGTAAAAATTGATGGACGATAAAATTTATAGATAACATATACAGTTCAAGAAGCAAGCAAGAAAATGTAGAAAATATCCAGAAAGTCAACAGATCTTTGCACAAAATTTAGACACTAAAAGTTTAGACACCAAATTCTTCAATATCGAATTCTTCAAAACCTATTTATGTTAAACAATTTGTGCTATTTCTAGACGGTGATCACGCCATGGAAGACTGAAGAATTCATCGCTGAATCTGGAGAGCAAAATCCTGTATTGCTTCAAAGGAATCAAGATTTTTCGAGTTATTAATATGCGAGTTTCACCACGATGTGAAGCACAGCGGGATTCGTGATACACTAACAACCATTAGAGAGCATTTTTGGATAATCCGTGTCGAGAAGCAGTAAAGAAAATCGTCAGGAAATGTGTTGTTTGTCGTAAAGCTGAAGGTCTTCCTTATGGGGGAACGCCTACTCCAGATCTTCATGGGGTGCGAATCTGAAGAATAGCAAGGTACAGATTCAGGGTCTCTGGATTGAGCGGGCTGAAAACGAGTGGTATCATCTGGACAGCGGTAAACTGCAAGAGGCTTGGGGTTGGAGATTCAATGTATTTTGGCGGGGTGATGGCACCTCTCTTCTCACTCGCTATATCAAGATCCCGCGGGCAGTCTCGACACGATGGGGCACGTTCGGATACAATTGGAGACGCACCTATAGACCCATTGCATTGACGTCACATTTTTGCAACGTCACCACCGGAAGTTATGTTCTGGGGGTCAATGGCATTGTATTCTCTATTCAATGTATTCTCTATTCTATGATTGTGGTAAGCCAATGATTTATTCTATAAGCAATACTGTGTGAAAGGTCAATTGGTAAAATGCCTCCAAAACCAACTCATAAAGGTTTCCTGCCCGGTTACTACGCTAGTATAAGGTCAAAAGAATTTAGGGAGAGATATGAGGCAAAATTTCATTTATACATTCTGTTGACCCATACGAGATACCAAAACGACTGGGAAGATTGTGTGGAATTATGGCCGAATGTTTCTTACATAAATGTGGGCATGTATTTATTGTTTTCGGTAAGCTCATACACACAGGACGAGCTTATGAACTACAAAAGTCTTTCGTGCTACCAGAACTTCGCGAATGGCTGGGTTCAAGAAGTTTTGGTAAAAGAGTTTGGCGATAATCGGCTGATGATTGCGAAGGTATGTGTGTTCATTAATTATCTTCACTTTTCATAAGCGATATCTGCTTCTATTTCTAATAGATAAATGTGAAACGCTAAATTTATTACATTTAAAAATTAGCAATGATTTGTTCAAACACCCTCCAAATTGCTTATCAATCATTTTTTGCTATCTAGGTAAATCACTCGCAAAAATATCTGAAACCACTGACGCCATGGGTTATCTGTGAGAAGGAAGGGAAGATTTTATCTGGTCACTGTGATTGTATGGCTGGTTTAGGGGAAAGCTGCTCCCATGTAGCATCATTGCTATGGGCTTTAGAGGCTGTTGTCAGAAAAAGGGACTCTCTTACTGTCACTGACAAAAAAGCCTACTGGGTCCTTCCCTCAGCCGTAAAGAAAGTGCCATATGCAAGAGTAAGACACATCTGCTTCTCAAAAAATGGAGCTTCAACATCTCCCACAGCCATTTCCAAAATAATTCCTCCGCCTCCACCTACAGAAAGTGAACTGTCAAAGTTTTATGCAGCATTACAAGCTACTGAGTCAAAACCTGTCATACTTTCCCTAGTTAAGGAATTCTATGACCCATTTGTTCCAAAGTCCTGTTACCCTGATTTGCCAATTGTGATGTCTAATATTTATGACAAAAGCTTGTTAGGTGCTGAACTTGCTACCTTGATAGAGGTTGCTCGCCACAAGCTACTACTCTATACAGTCCTTCCAGAGCAGCAAAGAATTGTCGAAGAGATGACCAGACAGCAGTCTGAGTCCAGACTTTGGTTCAGAATGAGGAGTGGCTGGCGACTGCCTCAAGATTCAAGCTGCCTCACGGACATGCCCAGATAGTCCATCAAAATCTTTAATTTTGACCATTTGTCATCCTGAGCTAGGAAAGTTTAGCCCTGCTGCTACACGATGGGGGTGTCACCATGAAAAGCAAGCAAGGGATGCATATGAAAGCTTTCAAAGAACTAAACATGAGGCCTTCAAAGTAGAAGAATCTGGCTTCTTCATTAATGTTGATCATGGCTTCATTGGTGCAAGTCCAGATGGGCTGATCAATTGCAAGTGCTGTGGCAATGGTGTCTGTGAGATTAAGGTATTTGATCATGATATGTCTAAGCATATAACATAATGGAGAATTAATTATATCAATAATTAGAGCCTTAGCAATATTTTGTTATTGTATATGTTTAGTGTCCCTATTGCTATAAAGATGACACATTAGACACATCACTAGCTGACAAGGACTTTTGTCTTGAAGAAACACCAGTTGGAAAACGGCTTAAAAGGAAGCATTGTTATTATTATCAGGTACATTTTCAGATATGTGCGAAAATGTGTGGTTAATTGTAATCAGTATCAGCTGAGTCAACACACAAATATATATTGCATACATGTACTAAACAGTAATGTTAGAATGTCATTTTATTTCAGGTTCAAGCTCAATTGTTTTGCAGTGCACGCAGCTATTGTGATTTTGTTGTGTGGAGTGAGAAAATGCTCTACATAAAAGAATTTTGCCGGATAAGAAGTTTTGGAAGAAAATGTACCTCGAGTAGAAATTTATTATCAAAGGGATCCTTCCCGAGCTGCTTGGGAAATTTTACTCTCGCACACATCAGGAAAAAAGAATACGACTCAATGTATAAAGCTACATACATTAGCAGATCCAGGGTAGGTCAGAATACATTATAGTAGCTAATTTTAAATTCAAAATAATTTAACAGCAATGTTGCTGGTTAGAAATTTCAAAAAAATATTTAAGAACCAGAACATCATCAATAATGTTAGTTGCAAAGTATTTTAAATGGGAAATATATTTATATCAACGTATTCTGACCTACGCTAGATCCACTATTGCCTCTAAATAATAAACATTCATTCAAATGGGACTACTGAATCACACATGTTATTCAATGCACAGCTGACTGTTACTATTTTGTCAAGTGTGGTCTTTCCTCCTTTTGAAACAACAAAGTCTATTGGTTGAGTTGCAGAAAGGATTCCATATTTTTTTCGAATATTGCCAATTACACGTTCCACATGGATTCTTACATTAGCAATCTTCCTAGTTTGTTCCACCTCAATCCCTTAATTGCTTTTTCCTTTTGTAAAAGCTGGTATCTTTACACGAGCACAATACAATCCAACAGATTCTTGTATGTCAAACCCTCTGTCTGCAAGAATTACATCCCTGGGGTAAGCTTTTCTAGAAGACCACATTCTTCTGTTAAGTGTTTGTCACTGACACGACCACCCCATCCATCAGATATGAAGCTTACACTACCTTGGGGAGTAATTCCTATCAAATACTTGGCAGTGTTATGGTGTTTGTATGATGAGTATGTTTGTGCCCTGGCTAAAGGATTAGATGCACGGTCGATGAAAATCTCAAAACAATTAATTATCACAGCACATGCTGGGCAGTTCTTGCGAAAATCCATGGGCATTGTTTTTAATAAGACTTCTCGTTCAGGCCAATGGATAAGTGGACAAAGCCTGCTATGTAGAATATCCATCATTTGAATAAAAACTCTGGAAACAGTTGCTTCATGAATTCCATCAAACCTATTGGCTAAGTCTTTACCAGAAAGGTTGAGTCTCATTCTCATTAATGTAAGAATGAGTCTCTGGAAAGGGCTAAGCATACACCTGGATGATTGTGACAAGAAGCCAGACACAAAGTTCTAAAGGCACAAAAGAAGCTTCCAGGTAGGTAAACCTGAATAGAAGAGTACCTTTTCATCATCATCTTTAAATGCATCCTCATTTAGTTCCTTTTGCAATAATTTTTTCTTTAAATCAGAATTTTCCTTCCTTAGAAAATCCACCTCATCTTCAAATAACCTCAGCTCATTGACAGTTTTATCAGTCTGTGCTGACATTTCATTTGTCTTTGGTTCAGAGGTGTCCATTTTATCAACAACCTCATTGGGCTGCTCGCTTGACATTGCTGTAAGGACATTAGCAGTTTCACATCTTCTCTTCTTTTCAATTATCCCTTGGTAGCGAGACGATCGTTCTGTGTTTATCTTTTTCGCATTGTTGTGGCCAAGATTTTGACTTGGTGCCCAGTCTGGGTCATCTTTCTTTTGTAGGTCTGCTGGTTTGCCTGTAGGAATTAATTCATTCTATTTTATGATATTTACAAGAAATTATGATCGAAACTTAAGGCAAAATCCCATTTGCTGACTGCTTCCTTGCATGGAATACAAAATGCCATACAAAAATATAATACAAAATATACGCATATAATGAGATATTTATCACAAATAACACATCACTTATTTAGCTAACCATTTAGCTGAACACTAGTATCATGGTACTGATAAAGACAAGTGTTTTTAACCTGATATGAAGTGGTCGCTACACACACAGCATTCGCAAACTTTTCTGGCGTAAGATCTTCTGCCAATTCGTCGAAGCCATTCCTTTTGCCTTTCAAGTTGAAGTTGCTTCTTGTTGACATTCACATTACTTTTGACAGCAGATAGGCGAAAAACCGTCTATTCTTTTCTCCATTAGATCGATTCGAGCATGCAAAACGAGCTCCATCCCAGTATGGGAATACGCTGACCGTCCCACCCGTACGCATCTGAGGCTGTTCTCACCCAAGCTCAGGCCGCCAAGCGACTTGGTATCGTCGTTCCGATAGAGCTGCGATGGCGTCCCACCCTACTACGCGTATTACTCTGCGGGCGGAGGAGGTCGGCGTATAGTTTACGCTTGGCCCGGTTCACAGCCCGAGTCGAGACTTCGCATGGGGATCGCAGCTGATGTAAACGATGTTGCGACAGTCCGGCTGAAGGTGAACGATGTAGAAGACAACTTTCGAAGTGTGCAAGCCACGCGGGCTGGTTTCAGCCTTCACAGTTTTGACCTTGCATTAGAGGTTGACGCGGGGGCATTATTGGGTTTTCTTCAACAGACGCTACCGTTGGTTTTATAGTGACATTGCTATTGGAGCAGTATGACTTCACGTGAGCCCTCCGCGCCCTCTCTTCACCTCCGGTGTCGACGGCGCCTCTCTATCCTAAGCTGCCTACAGCGAGCGATGCTGGAAATACGTACCGATTACAGAAGATTTCAGAGGTCGAAGCTCGCTTGCACACGGAGGAAATGGAAGCCCGGCAAACGCTTTACAAAAAGTACAAAAGAGCTGTGAACGGGTTACACGGCGCTGGCAATGCCCTATCCGCTATCACCGTGGGCAGCGCTGTTAGCGGCGTGGCCGTACTCAGTACCGTCGTTTTAACTTCTGTCGGATCGCGCTCGAAGGCCTAGCAGCTGTTTGCGGCACGGCCACTTTCGCTGGTCGGGTCGTGAGCCGCAGATTGACAAGAAAGCTGAAAACACGATCGCTGAGACCGTGCTCAGAACAATCTCGCTGATCACTGAGTTTGAGCCGGAGATGCCAACTGCAGCGAAAGTGAGTACCAGCTCGTTTTGGCGAAGAGCGCCTTCGTTGAAAGACAACATTAGAAGCCAGACAAAGAGAGCTCTCCGCGAACCGACGCGAGAGCTAGAAGCACAGCTGGACGCTGCACGTTCGAGCCGGCGTGAGGAGGGCATTCAGCTCGGGCGCATGGACGCTCTGAAAAAATCCAGCGTCAAGTGGCGGATGGCGATTCACGCTAGACATAAACTTTGTGCGCTATTGACTGTGTTTCATCTTGGTGTGACAGTTTTTCATCACCCCACCCACAACAGGGGGCTACAGACCCATGCTATTGTAGAAACTGCTCGAATATTGCATCACCGCGTGCACAATGATGTTATGGAGTTTTTGTCTACGGAAGATCTCTCTCAGCGTTTTCCAAGGAGCTATGATCATAATAAACCTACAGTGAGCATCTCTTTGTTTGCGAGGGAAAACCAGTATTGAATAAAACGGTGTGTATGAAATAGCCGTCGCTGGTATGGAGTGTTTTGCATGACAAATAGGCGCTATGAGCGTCATGAATCTTAGCCGAGCATTTCAACGGTCGGCGGCATAATCGCGCGCGGTTACTGGCGCTATGAAATCTCGATTGCCGCCTGTGTGACGACAGCGGTGCTGTCAGCGATGGAGATGGGGAATGGCTATGTAAGCATGTCGAGTCGCCGGGACACTGAGAAAAACTAGTTGAGGAGCTAATGAGATTTAGGGGGTGTTGCCTCCGCATGTTGGACCAGGTCCTCGAGGGAACCCTCTCGACGAGTACCAACTAATAGACCCCCGACGACCCTCGGGGCGCTGGAGGTGGGTCGGCCGTCCTTGGCTCCTGCCGTTGTCCAGGGTTTGGCCTTCGCTGTCTCGTGATTTTGTGCCGACCTTTGTGCTTACTGTGTGCTGTAGCATAATTACAAGAAGCTAACGTACGCGAACTAGGGCTGGGTGCTTAGATTTGCGTATATAGGTCTCAAGGTGAGCTGCGCCAGAACCTGTAGTCTCTATACTACTGAAGTACTAATGCATCCTAAATATCAAATAACAAGTGCTTTACTTAGAGAAATATTGAACAATCGTATGCCCATAAGAGGTTGAAATTATCTACCCATTAATAAGGTATTGGAAGAAAAGAGCTTTAATTTCGCAAAACCTACAGTGAACAATAAGCTAACTTGAATACTTGCCCAGTTCCTCAACTAATAGCAAATTAAATATATGGCAGCAGCGTTTTATAGAATTTATCAGAAAATAATGAATAGACTATGTTATTGAAACTTCTTTAAATGACAGTTATGAATTTTAAGGTGGTTTCTTAAACTCTTATAAATTTAGTTTTTAATTGTTCGCAAAAGAATTCATTTTAAAAGTATTTAGGTCTTTGAAATTTACTCAAAGAAAATTCCTTATACGTACCTTAGAAGTGCAATGTGAAATGCCAAGCAGACATTACAACCGTCCACAAAACACGTAAGGTCAAGAACCACTCAAACAAAAGTGCCAAAATATGATAGAGTGAGGTATAGACTTTCCATTTCGGCCGTTTTGATTTTTGTGAAAATCCAGCAATACGATATTTTATGCTAAGGTACGGAGGTAGAGTTAATTTCAAGAGAAAATCACAGAACACAGACGGCGTCATATGAAATTGAACATTTTGATGATAGCTGTATGGTCTGGATACAGAAAGCACGTCGACGATGAGCATAGCTACAAATGGATCAGATCTCAATGTTCAAAATGAGTTAAGCGAAAATGAAAATCCGACAATGAGAATGCGACGTTCGTGCCAACCATCTTAGTCACCTGAATATCCTTTACATTGCTTTTCTCTGTTATATGTTTTCTCAGAACGTTACATTTATCTCTCTCTGATTCTAATGGTAATTTTATGTTATAGGAAGATGTTCAAAATGAGAGAAAATACATAGTGTTTGATAGTTCTGGGATGTTAATGAGTGAAGCCCATGTTGTGTGGTAAGCTGTTCCATTGGGTGACCAAAACGACGGTAAAGTATATATGTACTGTAAAAATGTCATTGTTGTTATGTTCGAGACTGGAATAATAACCTCTGCATCGGCGAATGCTCCCTTGTAACCAGTATTTGCTGCCAGCAACTTGTTTAGTGGTATAGTAGCCCCAGCAAAGTTCTTCAATTGTTTTGCTACTCAGGCATACAATTTCGGTCTGAGCTAATATTATAGCTATATATTCAAACAGCGTATTTGATGTACCCAGTGTTTCAAATGTTTGGCATATGAACCAAAGCATCTTCTAGAATCAATAAGAGAAAGGAACATTAACCTTGAGGAGAGATGGAAGATGTGATTCGCCTGGATATTGTGCCAAGCGGCGGGTCATAGCTGCATAGATTTGGAATCTAACAACATTTGCTTACAATAACTTGTTCGGTAACAATTCTTCAACAACTGCACATAAACATGGTTAGAATACTCACATAATTATGTTAAACAGTCCAATGAAGTGTCCAACTCTGGAGCAATGGAACTTGAGTGATTAAAAGATGTCTGGCAAAGTTTGATGAAAGTGGGATGAAGGTGAAGTCAATGACCACAGACTGACATGCTCAAGTCAACTCCTACATGTCAAAAAGACCAAAAATTGAGCACTACTTTGATGTATGGCAAGTAGCAAAAGGTATGGTGATTGTCATAATAAACCAACCTTTTACACATTTCATCAATAATCAAAATCCAACAGGAATCTAAAAAAGAAATTTTGGCAGCATCAAAAAAGGTGGTTGTAAATTATTGGCAGATTGGGCCTAATCAATTCCCAACCATGCATAATGGTGCAGTTTCCAGCAATGGTGATGAAGGACTTGTGAAGGCAAGGGGTTGACAGTTCTCAAACATATATGTGACATCCATGGACATAGTGATGTATTCCAAAAATGTGAACACGATATATTAGAGCCTAGAATGTGGATAAAAAAAAGGTAATAAGCGAATTAATTTCAAAGTAACATCAACATTCTTTTTTGTTAACTAACCTCTGATCTTAGGTTCAAAAGCTTATGTTGAGCTGTCTTCGATTGTTTAGTCCAAGTATCTCATGTGAGATATTGGAAAACTCAGTTATCAAAAAAGAGACTTCACCCATCGAAGGTTTCACCGAGTGGTAATTATTTTGCATAAAACATATAATTATGACTTGTGTACGATTACTTAAAGAAGTCATCATTGCAAAGCAATAAGTTGCAATAGTTGTAAACATAAACTTAATATTCATTTATAAATTGTTTATTGATGCCTTCATTTCAATGAGAATGGAAATAAAGCTCAGAAAACCTAGTTAATGGTTGGCAAACAGAAGAGGCATTGATTTGGAGAGTGGTTTATTCAAAGTCAAAAAGAAGGACAAGGGTAATCAAACCAGTGAAAGTTAACAGCACTTATGGTTAGCACAGAAAAATAAACTTACCTTTTCTCACAGTGCAATGCAAAGCCAACATAAATAATGATTTTCTTTTTAGGATATGTTAAGGACTTGATGAAAGAAGTTCTGTACTGCAGACGCATTAATCCAACACTGTCCAAAGCTCTTTATGTCGCTGAGGAAGAAATACCTTTCCCATTACTGGCCACAACAAAAATCAGCAAAGCTGAAGCCATTAAGCAACATAAATCGATCTACTAAAACACCACACGAAAGTACATACGAGTACATACGAGTACATTCCGAGTAACATACGAGTATACATACGAGTAACATACGAGTACATACGAGTAACATACAAGTACATACAAGTAACATACGAGTACTACGAGTGACATGACGACTATTTTCTGTCAACAAATGAGAAAAAACACAATTTCTTCAATACATTGATATTTTGCGTTTATTTTTCCTTGTATTTAGTGTGGACTTTGGGCAGCCATTTGATGGATTTAAATGCTGAAAGGTATTTTACTTTTCATACTATTATTCATTTGTATGTTTTAGTTGAATTTGTTATAGATATTTTGTCGATGCGATTTGCCATTATTTGAGCGCTTTTGACACACTACCCACCTGG